AAATCATTTATCTATGTGCTCATCGTACAACCTGCTGCGTTTATCTGCTCGGCAACACTGAATCTTTCAACAACTGCAGAGCTAGGCAAGGTGGAATTTATTTTTAAAAAAGCTGCTCAAACTGCTGGATAACTAAATAAATGTTCCACATTTCAGGCTTGACTAGGTAGATAACTGTTGAGTTGTTCAACTTTTTTGCACGAGTTTTCGTCATTTTCTTGTATATAATTACATAAATCGTTGCATTCTGGGGCGATGTCTTTGGGCGTTGGTATAGTATTTTGTACCTGATCTGTATAGGATAAAAATATTACAACAGTTTCATAACACTTAATCAAGATGTAAAATAAACAAGGCTGATATTAAATATCATATATAATTTTATGTAATAAAAAATATTATTTTTTGGCGCAAAAAATTGGTGGTAAAGAAAACAAGACCTACCTCGGGGAACTGGGTCTCTCTGGACGCTAAACGAAGATTGATTGATTGCTGATATGAAATGAACCACGGTGAAAGCAAAGTAAAAATTATTACCTGATTTTCCAATTTCTTTCTCCACATCTCTTACATACAGAAATAGCTTTTCTCGGATTATTAACTTCTGCTTATCATCATTTAAAAAGTCCAGCTTGGAATTGAGGTATTAATGCTGATGATAATATATATTCTTCATCTTCCGAAAGTTTACCAAAACTATTTTCACGCCACCACTAAGTGCTTGAGAAAGTGGCTCAACAAGTTTATCTGAAGGTGACAAAACTTTTTTATGGATATCGGCGTAGAATTTTCCACTTTGTAGAATGTTCATTGCGGTTAACTATTTACTTCAAAATCTCAACGGACGAATGATGAAATTTGTTATGACGTGACATGTTAGAAAACATAAAATACAACACGAAGCACAAACTAAACTGCAACAGCTTTGATACTCAAGCTGGGCTATCACTTATCAGCAGTCTTTGATGAATAAAAAATGCACCACGTGATAATAATAAAAATAATTATAATAAAATAATTATAATATAATAATAATTAAATAATAATTAAATAATAATAATATAATAAAAGACATATGCACTCTATAAATAGCTCGGGTTTTCCGTTCCAGTCCTCAGTTCGGTGTGACTCTGGCCACATACGAGCTGCTCCAGAGGCTGCTGAAGTTTGACTTTGGCGGAAGGTCAGTTTGATGGATGGATGATTGATTGAGTAAATGAATGGATGGATAGATGAATGATGGATGGTTAAGTAAATGAATGGGTAGATGCATGAATGGATAGAGGAATGAATGAGTGAATGGATGGCTAGTTGAAGGAATGAAGGATTGTATGAATAGATGGATAACGGATAAATTGATGAAAGAATAAATTCATGAATGAATTAATAGATTATTGATGAATGAGCGGATGGTTGGATGAAAGAAAGAATTGAAGTGTGGATGAATGGATAGATGAAAAAGTAAATGAGTGAACAAACAGGCGACCAAATGAATGAGTAAATTAACACATACACAGACACACACACACACGAACTGTTCACACACGCGCGCACACACTCACACAAGCGCAGAAAAAATTTTTACAAATGAATAAAAAAATACAACAATCCACGCAGACAATTGGCGGGAAGTTCGCCATCTGGACATTCTCGTCCCAAGCACCACCTCGCCCCTAAAAACCCTGACCACATCGGGGGCTACCGCCTGGCACTGGCGGCCTTCGATGGCATGGAGACCAAGTTTGGCCTCTGTTTCCCTAAGTTCAAGAAAGTTCAACAATGATGATGAAGATGTTCATGATGGAGGCGATGAGGGTGAGGGTGGTGATTATGTTGATGTAGATGGCGGAAGAAGAAGATGGAGAGGATTGTAAGGATGATGATGATGATGATTGTTATTTATTATTATTATTATTAGTAGTAGTAGTAGTAGAATTATGAATATCACGATGAGTGCTAATGGTTATTATGTTGTAGTTTTTGGTGGTGGTGGTGATGATGATGACGTTAATGCTAAATATGGATGATGATGATGATAATGATGACCATTACAATGATGATGATGATGATGATGATTACTTCTTTTATGATAGCGATTATTATGATGACGGTTGAGAGTTCAAAACATGACGACGATGATGTTGATGTTGGTGTATTACAAATTTCTTACAAATGGAAGTACACACGCATACGAACGAACATGTTGTACAGAAGACACACGTCCATACATACACACATACATACACACATACATACATACATACATATACATACATACATACATACAAATATATACATACATATACATACATACAAATATATACATACATATACATACATACATATATACATACAAATATATACATACATATACATACATACATACATACAAATATATACATACATACACACACAAATACACACGCTCAAATACATACACGCACACACAGACAGACATAATGAAACATGCATTTAACACACGCACACATACACATACATACACACACACGCATACACCAAGAGACATATACACAAATGCATATAAATACTTTTTACAGATGCTACAAAATCTTTTTTCAGATGGTGATAAAATCAATACTGCCTTTTATATTTATTTTATTCTTATTAATTAATTAATTAATTTGGATGTTTGTTCTATTTTATTAAGCATTTATCTATTTGGTTATTCATTTTTTATATTTTTGTACTGTTGGGCCTCATTTATACAATGTAGGAGAACATTATTGCAGTGTTCTCGAAACTCATTCATTTGCTCATTCTTTCAATCATTCATTAATTTATTCATTCACTCATTCATTTCATTAACACATCTTCTAATTCAACAACAAATACATTTATTGGTTCAATCAAGTTTGTAACATACAGTGCCTTTGTTGAAGGAGTTTTGTTCGTTCATTCATTTATTCATTCATCCATTCACTCATTTATAAATCGTACAATTGATCACCTCATCTCAGTACTGATGACGATTATGTTTTCATTCTTCTATTTGCTCACTCGCTCACTTACCTCCCCAACTCTAACAATTTCATTATTGAACATCGATGACATTTTACCAATATGCAATGATAGGTTTATTTCGAAAGGCTACATAATACTCTCTCTCGCTCTCTCTTCACTTTCTTTCCTCTTCTCTCTCTCTCTCTCTGCTCTTTTTTTTTCTTCTCTCTCTCTCCTCGCTCTCTTTCTCTCTCTTTCTTTTTCTTCTCTTTCTTTCCTCTATTTCTCTCCCTCCCCCCCCCTCTCTCTCCCTGTATACATACATACATATATACTCGTATGAAAATATCTTAGTTATTCTGTTTTTTATATATTTACTTTTTTTTTATATTTTTCTTGATGGCCTTATTCAATACATATGCATGCGTGTGTGTGTGTCTGTGTGCGTGTGTGTGTCTCTGTGTGCGTGTGCGTGTGTGTCTCCGTGTGTGTGTGTGTGTGTGTGTGTGTGTGTCTCTGTGTGTGTGTGTGTGTGTGTGTGTGTGTGTCGAGATTTTGCTCCTCAATTTTTTCGATATTACCTTATAAGCTACATTGTGTTGTGTTTGGTGTTGATCGGTGTGTGAATGGTTTTGTTGTTGTTGTTGTTGTTGTTGATGATGAAAAATTGATGTCTTTGTTGTAACTGGTGACTTTAAATTCTCATTTTGGCCTTATTTTGATTGGCTGTCTGGCTCTTTATTTATGTATCTAGGACACTAACCAAAGATATTATAATCTTTGGCGTAAATATTTATTATGTAAACAAATGTGCTTACGTAAATACTAACACACATACATACATACATACATACATACATACATACATACATACATACATAACACACATTCATACATGCATATATACATACAAACATACAAACAAACATAGGTACATACACACACACATACATACAAAAATTA